CGTCGAAAACGCCCAACACGAGTGTACTCAAAGACGCGCACGGATTGCAACGCTATTATGGGAACGGGCCGAGGACATGGCGGAGAGACCCTTATCTATTTGACCCCCCACAGCTGGGCCCGCGAGGAAACGAGATGGACAACGTCGGCCAAATCCACAAAGTGCTCTCCGCCAATGTGCAGAAGAGGGTATACGTCCTGGATGCCGAGCGCAAAGCAAATTCATTTGCAGAGCCGCGACATCACCTACACCCTCCACGCGACGGGTCAGAATGGCAACGTCTTGGACCAAAGCGAGGCCATGCCCTTTCCGCTGTACCCGACCGACCCATTCGCCACCATGGGAGCCAAGGGCATGCATATTCGCAGCGGAAATCTACTCTTCGACAAAAACTTCTACATGACGCCTCAGACTCAGGCTTCCATGCAGAAGAAAGGGGGCACAACGGCAATCGAGTCCCAATGGTCGAGGTCACCGAACATCCCGCCGCCTCTTTTTCCCCGCCAGATTTTTTGACCTGGAGCGCGCGCGCGACGAGGCAGTCCGACGCACTGGGCTCACCGAAGGACTGCCATTAGCGCCCAACCATCGTCTGCCGCTACCCAGACCACGGATTTACCGCAGGCACAATGGCAACGACTTCGCCTGGACCCAGCAGGCGCACTACTTCAACCTGGATGCCAGGGAAACTACGTGGACAGACCCAGGCAACGCACTCCTGCAAGCAGGCTGGGAAGGGATTTCTCATCCGACGACTTCGAATGCTTCTACGACGCGGACTACAACAGCATCGAGTACCCGCCGATGGCAATCCCAACCAGGGCGCAGCCGCCACCGCTGCCGACGCCCCCCGACGCCTCCGAGGCAGCGGTCGCCATCACCTCAGACTCGACCCCTTGCAGTCGACATCGCCTCCCCCCCCCGCGACGTCGCCGTCGCGAAGTTCCGCGACGATGCCGACGCCGAGACCATAGCGGACTGGTGAAAGCAAGCAGTTGACTAGATGAGCGACAGCAGCCAGCAGCGCGACCGACATGAAGCGCTCCGAAAAAGACATCGGTCGCCTCGCGCGGCTACTACTCTCCAGCCAATACGACAACCTCGGCGCGCAGCAAGGGATAGTCACGCTCACCGCAGAGATCCCCGCATCACAGCCGCGCGCTGCAACCGTGGACCGCTCGAATGCCGTCGAATGAAGGACCAGGCAGCAAAACGCCACGGTGACGACGCTACCGCCTGACCTGTTGGCCGCCCCGACCCAGGGGGCCACTGCCTCCTCCGGCCGCGAGGTGCCATTTACCGGCATCGACCTACGTGCTTAGCCTACTCGCCGCGAGGCGCCAGCGGCGGTCGCGCCAATGGCGCCAACGCCACTCACGGACGTAACGTACCCCCCGCTGCGCTACAGAGTTCCATTGGCTATCTTGACGCCTGCGCCCACCGTGCAACCCGCAACTGCAGGAGCAGCGCGCGGCTCCGAGCTTCGAGGGCAAGCAGCCGAGCACCCTCAGCCACGACAGGAAGCACTTGCGAAGCCGCCGCCGACAACCCCGCGAGAAAACAACCGAGGGGGCAGCAGCGAGCCAAACTACGACGGTCTGGGACGCAGCAGCCCTGCAGGCCAACGACGACGACGCCAGGCGCAACCGAGGCGCGGCCGTCGAGCTCGCAAAACGACCCCACCTCCACCGCCGCGAGGCATGACGCCATGATCAGCAAAGACGTACCTGACCGCGAGCACGTGATGTCCCACATACAAACCCACGAGGCGATCGCCTGCCTCTATGACCAAATGCTCGACCTGGCCGACTCAGCAGAGGCCGGCGGGGGCGCGACAGCGGGTGGTCTCTGCATCGAATGCGACCAGGTCATGGCGCGCGTGGAAGGGCATCTCGACAGCTACCGAGTGTCCCACGAGCTGCGGGACGCGCGCTCGTTCCACGTGAGTCAGCGACAGAGGGGCTTCGCCAACTACGCCAACCACCCGAAGCGCCACAGCCGCGACAGCATGCCTGAGCAAGCAGGGGTGTTGCAGCAGAAGAGAGACATCCTCATGGGTATCGAGGTAGCCATGCGACACAATCCTACATGCGGGCCGGCGCCACCCCCTGTCACCGACTTACAGAAGGAACTCGCAATTGAGGCAATGGTCAAGGTGGCCGAGCCCATCAGCAACCAGACCCTTTGGCCGGAGACGAGCCACAGCGTCGGTAGAATTTACGGCCGACACCCGACCCACCCATTGCATTCGACCCTCTGTCACCCGCCGAGTCGCGCAGCGGGACCGCGCCACTCTAACTCGGACAACTGGGCCAACGGCCGCCGACGTCAGGACCGACCAGCGGAGCAGACCAACAATGCCAATGCGGCGCAGCCCAAGTGAACCACGGCCACAGCGGGCAGATCCGAAGTGAGCGGCTCCGCGCGCCGCCAGGGGCCGCGCCAGACGCAGCAGCGCGCCATCGGCGACGCCAACGCATCTGCCACGATCCGCAGCATGATCGCGGACCACAACACTAAGGGGGGGGGGGCGCGCCCCGCGCCCCCCGCGAATGGAAGCCGGCAACGACCCGGCCCACGGGCGGACATCAGTGCGTCATCCACTACGGCGACCGGCAGGAGACGGACCAGGATGCTTTCTTTTTACGGCCCTGACCCGCGGAAACCATGGCCGACCTACGCAGGCGCGTCAAATCGAACCAGCCCGACCAGCGCGATGCAACAACGGCCAATCAGGAGGCCCCCTTTCGCCCGCCACGCAATGCATCCCCCGCGATCGGACCAGCCTAGCGGCGGCGAACCAGCGCAATATATCCCCACCTGCCTACCTCACCCTTGCAGCAGACAGGACCGCCAGCTGCCACCTACTTCTTGCAATCTCTGCATTGTTTTTAGCCGACACGTGCGCACTCACCGCGTGACGGAAACAGCGCAGCTGGTGGTAGGGGCTTCTACTATGCGGCAGGATTCTACAGCGCGAACATTAGTGGCACCGGCGGCACAATACAGCATGAACACCAGTGGCGACTCTAACCGCTCTCAGGCGAATGCAAGAGAGCTACAGGTCTCCACCAACCTCCAGCCTTCCCCACCTCCTGGCTAACCTGCTCGCAGCCCCTTATCCCCCCGCCGCGATCTAACCTCCTCCCCCCCCCTCTTGTGGTGAGGCATGAACGGGGTTTTATCAGGGAGGGGCGAGGGGGAGCTCGCCGACGGCCGTCCTGGCAAGGGCCAGGGCGGCCGCGGCACCAGCTACAAAAGCCGCCAGTGGACTTCTTACAGCCCCCCATCCATCTTCCTCGCATCTTCAGCAGCTGCGGTTCTCGACCGCCTGCAACGCCCGCCGCGGCGACACCGACTCCCAACTTTCACCGCGCAGGCCGCCGCCGCGGATTGCAGAAGCCACCTCCAAGCGTAGTGGGGACCCCCCAAGCAGCCACCTCTCCCGTGGTCTTGGTACCCTAAACCTGCCTCGGCGGGGGAGGGTGCCAGTCATGGGGGTGGTGGCTGCTTGGGGAGGCTTCCTATGCGCATGAGGTAAGGCCCTTCCGCCATCCACGTCTGGCGAGCGCGGCCGGCGCCGCCGCCGCGCCGCCCACAGGGGAGGACAGAAACACCTTCAATCTCGGTGTACCCCCCAAGTCGGCCCAGAAACCGACTTGCTGAGAACCCTGCGCCTGCGCGCAGGCGAGGGATCCCGCAGTCGGCCTCTGGGGCGCCTTTGGGGGATTCCCATGAGCGGATGGAGAGTCCCTTGGACCTTCCCCTCATAGCAAGCGGCACCCAAAGACGCCCCGCGGAATGGTTTTGCCACCGCGCGCCACCTTCAATTGCCATGCCACTTTCAGCTTCCACCTCATTTCAATTGACGTGTTAACCTCTCCAACCTCCCTGCCCTCTTACTTCGCTGCTTGCCGCAGCCCGCCACAGCACCTCGCCACCTCCCCCCCTCCTCTGACAGATAGGGCACCCCTGCGGAGGAGGGCCCCGGGCACCCTGTAGGGCGGTGGCCTACCCAGACCACGCGACCCGAAAGAGGGGGGACCCCAAAAAGGCCCCTACGGGGCCCAACCCGCGCACGTGCCGCCACATTGTCGCCGCGCTGCCACATTATCTTTCCCGTTTCCGTTTTCTTGTGGTTATGATTCGATGATGGTGATGATGATGATGATGATGATGATGATGATGATGATGATGATGATGATGATGATGATGATGATGGTGATGGTGATGGTGGTGATGGTGATGGTGATGTGATGGTGATGGTGATGGTGATGGTGATGATGATGATGATGATGATGATGATGATGATGATGATGATGATGATGTGATGCTGATGATGATGATGATGATGATGATGATGATGATGATGATGATGATGATGGTGATGATGATGATATGTCCCTTTCTTCTTCCCTCCCTCCTTGTCTTTGTGGCCTCGCCCCTTTGGCTTATTCCCTTAGTGGGGGGCCGACCGGGCCTCCCTGGGGGAAGCGGCATCTTTCGAATAATACCAGTGCCGTCAGCGCTTCAGCATCTTAGGAGGAGGAGGAGGAGGAGGAGGAGCAGGAGGAGGAGGAGGAAGAGATAAAGAAGACGGGAGGCAGAGAAGGAGGAGGAGGAGGAGGACGTCGAGGAGGAGGAGCATAATGAGGAGGAGGAGGAGGACGACGAGGAGGAGTAGGAGGAGCATGATGATGATGTTGATGATGATGATGATGATGATGATGATGATGATGATGATGATGTGATGATGGTGATGGTGATGGTGATGATGATGATGATGATGATGATGATGATGATGATGATGATGCTGATGATGGTGAGGAGGGGAGGAGGAGGAGGAGGAGGAGGAGGAAGAGGGAGGGGGGAGGAGGGAGGAGGAGGAGGAGGAGGAGGAGGAGGCGGATGAGAAGTAGGGAGGAGGACGAGGAGGAGGAGGAGGAGAAGGAGGAGGAGGAGGAGGAGGCGGAGGCGGAGGCGGAGGAGGAGGAGAACAGGTGCTGGACGGCTTCTCGTCCCTGCTCCAGGACAAGCTGCTTGCGGAGTACAGGAGCGCCTCTCTGTCTCGAAGTAGGCAACGGAAGAAACGGCATCAACATAAACGTTCGGAGGTCCGCGCGGATTTCTGAGTTCGGCGTTGGGCCCCAATGGCGGCAGACCGAGACATCCCTGCAGACCGTCGACTGTTTATGTTTACGCTGATGTGTCATCTTCTATTTCCGTTTCCCGGACCTCCGACGTCCTAAACAGTTCAATGCGGGAGGTTTTCCACCGTCTTCGTTTTTTGGGGTCCCGCTTCTAGGCCCCAGGTTGCCCCAGGATGAGGAGTTTGTCCCCAAGGTCGGGGGGCTTTGGGTCCCACGTCGCGGACATATCGTAATGTCCGAGGAGACGGGGGCCTTGGTGCAAGAAGGGCTCTGCTGCCGTTGCTGCCGCTGGTGCTGCGCGCACCTCCGTCCAGGCCGCCTTCCCTTCCCCCTCCGTCTACCGACTCCGCTCCCCAGTCCCCGCACCCTCTCCTCTTTGAGCCAGGAGCTTCCGACAGAGCGAGAGGGAGAGAGAGAGAGAGAGAGACACAGAGGAGCCAGACGCCCTCCGAGCGGTAAGGCCTGCGCCAGTAGCAGCGCGGGGGCGGTCTCCCTTTTGCAGTCCTTGGAGTCCTCCCTGCCCGCAGACACGGACGGGTTGCTAGCCTTTCGAGAGTCCTTCCCAATCGGACTGGTCTCGGTCGAGGTCGGTCCCACCGACTGCCACCCCCCAGCTGCCTCACTCGATCGGCTTGGACACGAAGTTGCGCGCCGTGGCAGGCCAATTCCGCCAGCCGGACCGTGCCGCGCTTGAATTCCGTTAGGCAGACGCTTCCGTTGGGCAGACGTTGAGCTTATTTTTGAAGGTTGGTCGGCCCCCAGGGTTCCCTGGCTGGACGCGTCTCGAAATGCCAAGCTAGATTGCACCTCGAGATTGTCAGGCTGTTTGGGGGCCTTTGGGAGTCCCTCGTCGCCACTGTTGGCACCTCGAAGATCTTGCCAGAATGCACCCCGAGGTCCGAGGTTGTGGTTGGGCCTTGTTTGGGCTCTGAGGCGCCAATGTCGCCACGGCTGGACTCGCTGCGAATTTCTGGACAGCATGCACCCTTGGGATTTGCACAGCGTGGGTTTTGAGGACAACTGTCTCTTCCGCCATCGTGAAGTTTCCCGAGCCAGCTTGTCTGTAAGGGTTCGACTTGTGTATGTACACGTAGATGAATGATATTTGATTATTTCAAATACCACACGCATGGCACGTGCCTGCCCAGGCTCATACAAACACACGTGCAGGATGTGTGCGTGGCGTGTGTAATGTGTGTTGTGTGTGTGTTGTGTGTGCTATATGTGTGAATTATGTGCGGGTCATGCGTGATCTGCGTGTTATGATTGTTATGTGTGTTGTGTGTCTGTGTGTGCGTTGTGCGTATGTGTGTGTGTGTGTGTGTGTGTCTGTTGCTCGTTGTGTGTGTGTTTTGCTTGTGGTGTGTGGTGTTGTGATGTGTGTAGTGTGTGTGTGTGTTGTGTGCGTGTCTAGGTCGTTCCTTGGCCTTCTTGTCGTCCACTTTGCTATCTCGCTCCTCCCGCATTCCAGTCCTGGTTGGCTTATGTCACCTTCATCTTCGCCGTAACTCGTCTTTCCACTGTCCCCCCCCGCCATCCACGCCTGGATGGTTACGACGGCCGGCGATGCGTGGTCCTAAGTGGCCAGTGAGGGCTCGGGTGGTTAGACGCGCGCGCGCGCATTCGCTGTTTTCAACCTTCTAAGCATCGACGATGCGCGCGAGGCCGCGACGCCAAAACAAATGTTGTATGTGTGTGTGTGTGTGTGTCGTGTGTGTGTGTGTGCGTGTGCGGGTGTGAGTATGCTCTCTGTGTGTTTTGCGTGTTGTAGGTGTTGTGTGTTATTTGCGCTGTGCGTATTTTGCGTGCGTGTGTGTGTGCGTGTGAGTATGTGTGTGTGTGCGTGTGTGTGTGTGTGTGTGTGTGTGTGTGTGTGTGTGTGTGTGTGTGTGTGTGTGTTTGTTCCCGACCTCCGACACCCTGATCACAGGTACCGTGGAGTGGGCCTGCACACATCGCCTGAAATACGGACAGGCATTTCGAGATAATTTCTTGTATGTCGTTGAAAGACGTTGCAGGGGCGCTTTCCAGAGCAACCGTCAGCGCCATCTCTGCGACACCATGAGGAGTTTCTTGGGCACTGGGCAGGGCTGCGCGCAGGAACACCAAGTACAATCAGCTGTTTCACAACAACGCGACCTCGGCAGTGTTATCCCTTGGTATTTGGCTACTGTGCGGCAAGGCCCAGGAGTGAAGGGTTGCATGATGGATTGTCGTATTGTTCACCAGTCTTCTGTTGCGATCGCCTCAGCTCTTTATCTCTTGCAACCTTCTGGGCCGAAAAATACGCATCTGTGACGCCGAGTCTTGTTTCAGATGTTTTGAACTAGCGTGGCAGCTGCATTGCGGCTGGTTTAGATGAGAAAGGCATTTCACGATTTCACATCTCGCATTGTTCCCATACCCCTTACCTGCCATGCGTAACCACGACTATTGTACCTGACCCTGCCTTTATCCTTGGGCAGTTCGTCCTTGCCGAGCTTTTGTTGTTGGTTCAAGGCTTTGAATCAAGCGACATGTGACGTCGGCGCCCCCAGGACTCAGGCATTTTAGTATCTCCCCAACTCGTCAATGTTCCTGCTTCCCCGATTCTCCATCATACCCGTGCGGCAGAAGGGGATGAAGATATGGGTAGGGGTAGGGATAGGGATCAAGACACCCTCCCCGCCCGCAAGCCGTCTCGCTCACTCCTAACCGCCCTCCCCACGCATGTGTAGCACCCGAGCCGCAGCGTGCTCAGCGGTCGTCTCTGGATGACAGCTACTGGGAGCCAAAGCAGACCTCATTTGCGCGACGCTGGGGCGAGGTGCGCCACGCGTGCCAGGTGCGCCACGCGCGCCAGGTACGCCAGGCACCCCTGGGTCCAAGCGTGCCAGGCACGCCTGGTGCGCCAGATGCGCCATGTGCTCCACGTGCACTATGTCTCGCATGCTCCAGCCACGCCAGGTGCGCCACGTTCGAGGCACGCGCAGACTGTACCAGGTGCGCCTGCACACGCGACAGACCACGTGGGGAAACATGTTGGCCCCATCATCCTTGTCGAAAAACCAGTGCGCAATCGCGGCGAGGTGGCCATCATGGTGTCTGATGGGCCTGCACACAGCAGGCAATATGCCAGCACCCCCGCCGTACCTGTCAAAAACTGATACAAGATGATCGCGGGGTGCTCGCGCATGATCAGATTTTGCCGCGAAGTGCACTTCGTATTGTCTTGTTGGCAGGGATTGTTAGATTGCGCGCAGCAAGCGAAGGGCACCCCCGCCGCCCCGATCAACAGAAACAGCAAAGTGCTCGCGCCCCCCCGAACATGATCCATATTTTGCCGCATTTTTTTTTTTCAATATTGCCTTTTGACAGCGGATGATGGTGGGGTGGCATGGGGACGGGTTGGCTGCCGGTCGCTTGTTGGAGGGGGTGTTCATTCGTAGGGAGAAGTCATATTAGGGATAGAGATACAGGGCTAGGGATGAAGGATATGGATCGGGATGGGGATAGAGATAAAAAGGGTAGTGATGGGGATATCAGGGATAGGGATAGGGATAGAGATAGAGATAGGGACGGCAATGGAATGTCACGGGAGGCAGCGGGAGGCAACGGGAGGCAACGGGGGGAGCACGGGAGGCCCTCTCGCCCCACCGATTCCCGATTGGGCGACCCACCTGGCAACGGGTGGCTACAGGAGGGCACGGGAGGCCTTGTCGCCCCACCATGTTTTGATCCAGCGATCCACCCACTCCATAGCTTCTGAGAGCGGATCTGTACAATCTTTCCAGACAGTTCGTCTAGAACATGATCGATCCACGAACCCGGAAAGGAATATAGAACTGTAACACATGGCAGCGTGTTCAAAAACACCTGATTGGGTGACGGGCAAATGCAATGCTGAGTGTATCGATCTTGATGTACCGTGCCGAGGGCTGTGCTGTGCTGCGCCGTGCTGAATTGCGATGTGCCATGGCGCGATTGTGCTCTATAGCCTCGTGGATCGAGTCCTCCTTTGCATCCGAGTCCTGACCGAACTGATCTGGATCTTAAGCTCGAGCTGCCTGAACACATAGTAGCTGCCCCAGAGCTAATGGACAGGGGGACATGCCAGGAGGACGCGCCGCGAAACGTCCCAAGGGATGCGCCAGGCGACGTGCCAGGGGACGTGCCATGGGGTCGCACCGCGGGACGTGCCAAGGGGACGCGCTACGGAACGTGCCAATGGATGTGCCACGGGATGTGCCAGGGGACGCGCCACGCGACGTGCCAGGGGGACTCGCCAAGGGACGCCCCACGGAACGTGCCAAGGAACGTGCCAAATTGCAATGCTGAGTGTATCGATCTTGATGTACCGTGCCGAGGGCTGTGCTGTGCTGCGCCGTGCTGAATTGCGATGTGCCATGGCGCGATTGTGCTCTATAGCGTCGTGGATCGAGTCCTCCTTTGCATCCGAGTCCTGACCGAACTGATCTGGATCTTAAGCTCGAGCTGCCTGAACACATAGTAGCTGCCCCAGAGCTAATGGACAGGGGACCATGCCAGGAGGACGCGACGCGGAACGTCTCAAGGGACGCGCCAAGCGACGTGCCAAAGGACGTGCCATGGGGTCGCACCGCGGGACGTGCCAAGGGGACGCGCTACGGAACGTGCCAATGGATGTGCCACGGGATGTGCCAGGGGACGCGCCACGCGACGTGCCAGGGGGACTCGCCAAGGGACGCCCCACGGAACGTGCCAAGCGAGCGTGACGTGAATCCTCTGAATTCCTGCGAGCGGGACGTGAAAACAAGCATTTCGCCTGATACATCCTCTGAGTTCTGGCCACCCACGAGGCTCCCGCTCGAGACATCCTCAACAAATTCTGAAAAACAAGCGTTTCGCTCGAGACATCCTGTCAATATCCAAAGAATTCCTAGCAAAACAAGCGAATTAGTCGAGACATCCTCAACAAATTCTGAAAAACAAGCGTTTCGCTCGAGACATCCTGTCAAAATCCAAAGAAATCCTGCAAAACAAACGAATTAGTCGAGACATCCTCAAAATTCCTGCGCGCGGGACGCGGCACGCGCGAGACATCCTCGGAATTCCTGCGAGCGGGACGTGAAAACAAGCATTTCGCTTGAGACATCCTTTGAATTCTGGCCACCCACGAGGCTCCCGCTCGAGACATCCCCCCAATTTTGCAAAACCAGCGTTTCGCTCGAGACATCCTCAACAAATTCTGAAAAACAAGCGTTTCGCTCGAGACATCCTGTCAAAATCCAAAGAATTCCTCGCAAAACAAGCGAATTAGTCGAGACATCCTCAACAAATTATGAAAAACAAGCGTTTCGCTCGAGACATCCTGTCAAAATCCAAAGAAATCCTCGCTAAACAAACGAATTAGTCGAGACATCCTCAAAATTCCTGCGCGCGGGACGCGGCACGCGCGAGACATCCTCTGAATTCCTGCGAGCGGAACGTGAAAACAAGCATTTCGCCTGAGACATCCTCTCAATTCTGGCCACCCACGAGGCTCCCGCTCGAGACATCCCCCCAATTTTGCAAAACCAGCGTTTCGCTCGAGACATCCTCAACAAATTCTGAAAAACAAGCGTTTCGCTCGAGACATCCTGTCAAAATCCAAAGAAATCCTGGCAAAACAAGCGAATTAGTCGAGACATCCTCGAAATTCCTGCGCGCGGGACGCGGCACGCGCGAGACATCCTCGGAATTCCTGCGCGCGGGGCGCTTTTCTGCGTCGCGGTCGGGGCTCCAGACCCCGTTATTTGTCGAGGATTCTGCGAAAAACGCTCCGCACCCTCTTTTTTACGAGGGAAAACGGGGGTCTGCGGACCCCGTTATTTATCGAGGATCCGAGATGGGGGGCGAACTTTCCTCGAGCGGGCACGCACAAAACGCACTTTTTCTAAAACATGATGGACCCACGAACCCGGAAAGGGATATAGACATGTGGAGCATGGGCACGTTTTCACGATACCCAACGGGGCAACACCTCACGAAACATCCCACGAGACACCTCACGAAACATCCCACGAGACACCTCACGAAACATTCCGCGAGACACCTCACGAAACATTCCAGGAGACACCCCGCGAAACATTCCACGAGACACCCCACGAAACATTCCACGACGACAGGCAACCACTCAACCAAGGCGGTGTGGTCGTGCTGGGGAGTGGTCGTGCTGGGGTGTGGTCGTGCTGGGGGGTGGTCGTGCTGGGGTGTGGTCGTGCTGGGGGGGTGGTCGTGCTGGGGGGTGGTTGTGCTGGGGCGTGGTCGTGCTGGGGCGTGGTCGTGCTGGGGCGTGGTCGTGCTGGGGTGTGGTCGTGCTGTGGTGAGGTCGTGCTGGGGTGTGGTCGTGCTGGGGTGTGGTCTTGCTAGGGTGTGGTCGTGCTGGGGTGTGGTCGTGCTGGGGTGTGGTCGTGCTGGGGTGTGGTCGTGCTGGGGGGTGGTCGTGCTGGGGTGTGGTCGTGCTGGGGGGTGGTCGTGCTGGGGCGTGGTCGTGCTGGGGCGTGGTCGTGCTGTGGGAGGTCGTGCTGGGGTGTGGTCGTGCTGGGGTGTGGTCTTGCTGGGGTAGGGTCGTGCTGGGGCGTGGTCGTGCTGGGGCGGGGTCGTGCTGGGGCGTGGTCGTGCTGGGGTGTGGTCGTGCTGTGGTGAGGTCGTGCTGGGGTGTGGTCGTGCTGGGGTGTGGTGAGGTCGGGATTTCAAAAACAAGCGTTTCGCTCGAGACATCCTCAAATTTTAATTCGCCGGCCTCAAAAACAAGCGTTTCGCTCGAGACATCCTCAAATTTTAATTCGTTTCGCTCGAGACATCCTCAAATTTTCCTCAAATTTTAATTCGCCGGCTCGTCATTTATCAGGGAAAAAATTCGCCGGCAATTCGCCGGCTCGTTATTTATCAGGGAAAAAATTCGCCGGCAATTCGCCGGCTCGTTATTTATCAGGGAAAAAATTCGCCGGCCTCCTTCAAGCAGGCACCGGGGGACTTGTTTACAAACTAAAAGAGAACCCTGGGCCCCAGCCCTTTCCGGGAAAAAATCAGCACTTTACCTCGTTATTTATCGCAAATAATTTCGCCGGCGCTTGACCCGTCAGGACCGGGGGGTAAACAGCTAAAAGAGAACCCTGGGCCGGCGCCCTTTCCGGGAAAAATACACTCAAAACGTTGGGGTGAGGACCTTCATGATGGGAAGAAACACGCTTCCAGGCGGGCGTGCCAATCAGCATGCGCTTGCTCAGGTTTGTTTCACCTCCCAACCGTTCTGGTGGCCGTTGACGATCATGATCAGCCCAGGCGTATTTATGGACATCGCGCTGTCAGAGCGAAGGGGGGGCAACCTCCAGAATGTATAGGTCGAGCCTCCATTCTGGAGGTGTGCATCCTCTGCGCTGGAGTCCTCTAGGGGAGCGTGTTGCAGCTACATTTTGGCCTCGCTGGGTCATCTCTTGAGCGATCCTGTGCCTGTGCCGGGCAGCGGCGCCCCCTCTTTCCAGGCCGTGGATGCCTCTGGGAGTTCCCGCCGCCACGGCTGGCTTCCCTTCGAAATTTTGGTCGAAACGCTGCCCCTGGACAGGTCCAGCGGTGCTCCCTCGTGCTCCTCCTGCTCCACCATCCCCTCGATGAATTGATTACACGATCGCGGCGTTCTTCCTTGATATGAGGATTGTGGGATGCGTTTTCGGGCCCAGTGGATCGAGACCTCTGTCGCTCTCTTTTTCTTCGCCTTGGCGAGTCTACGTTTACAATGGTGGCCTATCAGATTTCGGCTTCCGCAGGCTATTCTCGGGGCCCAGGACAGATGTACATTCTGCAAACCACTCGGGGAAGTGGAGATCAAGAGCTCCAGGGATCCCATATGCGAAAATATGACTGGGTTCGGCCAATATTTGGACCGTTCACTAGTCTGCCCACAGGCTTCCAATGACCGTCCCGCCGTGTATGCAGATCGTGCTCATCTCCTTTCGCATTTGAAACAGCGACTTCCGCCCACCATTCAAAACCGAGGCAGGCTTGCTGACTCAGTGTGCAAAGTCTAGTTGAAGCGGCTTCTGGAGGCGTGTGGGCACGCACCCGCATTCACCGACTTCCGACGGATTGGTTTGTTGCTCATTCATGGCTTCACAGGCCTCGGTCCCTTCCTTGGGGCAGTTGTTCATCTAGGTCCACGTCGGAGGTTCCAGATCCTTGGGTCACTGGCACGGGAGCCCCATAGCCAGTATTCGAATGATAGCAAATTGCACAGATCAAGTTTTCGGAGGTCCGCGCGGATGTCTTGGCTCGGCATTGGACCTCCCTTGGCGCTCGAAGGGGTCCAGCGCCGACTCGGGACATCCGCGCGGATTTCCAAAAGTTACGTTTGTGCAGTTTCTGTTATCTTCGACCAGAGCCATGATGTCATTCGCTGTTCTCTTTCATGTGCTCATTCGGCGAAGGGCGCACCGCCGGAGGAGTCGCTGGAGTTCTGCAAGACCCACCCGGCGGTGTACATGGAAGCAGCTGCATCTCTCAGTCCTCCGCCATGGTGGTAATTGGGTTTTGAGAGAATGGGGTCCTAAGGTTTTTTGCCGTGTCCCTCTTCCCTAGAGCTTCGGGAACGGTTCAGGATGAAAAGCCGGTCACGGGGACAGCTTTGAGCTCCAGGACCCATTTCCCCACGGACCCCAATCTTTGACAGAGAGCGCCTCTCATTCATGTTCGTCCTTTCTTTTTCTTCTTCTGAAAGTGGTTCTATTTGCGTCGTGGTGAATGACTCTCATGTCCCACGGTTTCTGGTTTGAGAGAGGCGGGGCAAAAGCAATACGTTCTGCGGTAGATGATTTACACCGCTAACCCCAAGCTTATTATGGACCTTGCCTGAGTACGCTCACAAAGTGGAAATGAGGACCATTTGAGTTTCGGAAGGGCCAGGGCTTCATTCGTATTTCATCATGTCGTCGTTAAGCACGCAAGGCTCTGTCTGGCAAGACTTCGGCTGTACCCTCGCTGGCCCTGGGGTCCTCCAAACAATTTGATGCACTATACCCAGCATGAGTTGGATTAGGGCGAGTTCGAGATTCGGCGCGCCCTTCGAGTCGCCCCTCTACTGTCTGCCTGGCCCACGTCTTGCGTTGAACATGCTCGCTACGCCAATGGCAAGTGGACCATTCAACTGGATGTTGTTTCGAGTGCAATTACGGTCATCAAAGCGTCGCGGGGGAGAGTGGCATAGGCCCTCCCAGATACGGGTTCGGTATGGGTTCGGTATGGGTATGGGGAGCGCTGGCTTTTGTGAACCAAGCCTGCTCCTAAGGGAGGCGGGGTGGACCCGGGCGAAGTGCCCGTGCCCAGTCTGTTTGGGTGTTGACCAGAAGACGCCACAGAATTCTGGCGCGCGTGGGTGCCGTCGCACAACAAAGTTGGATTCAATGGTGGCCACTCTTGGTTAGGCCCCTGAGCGCAACACCCTCTGGCGATCCTTGAGAGTGTTATGGGGGAAGGGCTCAGTGTACTTACAAAAAAATTGTGGGCACTGGGTGCTGCCAACGCTGGTCTGCACCTCTGGCCCGTGCTGGCCCCTGCCCAGCCCCGCTTGCCTTTGGCAGAGCCAGCGCCAGTGTCGGTTTTATCCGCAATCAGCCATGGGTGCCGCCAGCCTTGGCTTGCGCTTCCTCTCAGCCCTTCCCTGGGCCACGCTGAGGAGCCCGAGGAGGGATGCGACGGGGGAGGGAGGAAGAGGGAGAGGATGATAGTTAGCGTACAACGGGCCGGGCCGAACAGGGAACATGTTCCCGGAAAGGGCGTGGGCCCAGGGTTCTCTTTTCCTATGTAAACATGTCCCCGGTGCCCAACTTGAAGGAGGCCGGCGGATTCTTTCCCTGATAAGTATCGAGGTCGAAGGAGGCCGGCGGATTAAAATTTGAGGATGTCTCAGGCGAAACGCTTGTTTTTGAAGTCCCGATCGATAAATCACAGGGTGCGGGACACCTCAGCACGACCACACCCCCAGCATGACCACACCCCAGCACGACCACGCCCAGCACGACCACGCCCCAGCACGACCACACCCCAGCACGACCACACCCCAGCACGACCACACCCCAGCACGACCACACCCCAGCACGACCACACCCCAGCACCAGCACGACCACACCCCAGCACGACCCGATCGATAAATCACAGGGTGCGGACCACCCCAGCACGACCACACCCCAGCACGACCCCACCCCAGCACGACCCCACCCCACGACCCCACCCCAGCACGACCACACCCCAGCACGACCACACCCCAGCACGACCCCACCCCAGCACGACCCCACCCCAGCACGACCACACCCCAGCACGATCACACCCCAGAACGACCACACCCAGCACGACCCCCCCAAGCCACGACCCCACCCACAGCACGACCACACCCACAGCACGACCACCACCCAGCAGGACCCCACCCAGCACGACACCCACGCCCACACCCCAGCACGACCACGCACCACAGCACGACCACACCCCAGCACGACCACGCCCCGACCGCACGCCCCACACGACCACCCCCCAGCACGGAACCACCCCCCAGCACGGGACCACCCCCAGCACGACACCCCACCAGAACGATACACACACCAGCACGACCACACCCCAGCACCGACCACTCCCCAGCACGACCACACCGCCTGGTTGAGTGGTTGCCTGTCGTCGTGGAATGTTTCGTGGGTGTCTCGTGGAATGTTTCGCGGGGTGTCTCGTGGAATGTTTCGTGAGGTGTCTCGTGGAATGTTTCGTGGGGTGTCTCGTGGGATGTTTCGTGAAGTGTCTCGTGGGATGTTTCGTGAGGTGTTGCCCAGTTGGGTATCGTGAAAACGTGTCCATGCTCCACATGTCTATATCCCTTTCGGGTTCGTGGGTCCATCATGTTCACGGAAAGGGAATGGGGCCAGGGTTCTCTTATTAGTAGGTAAACCTGTCCCCTGGTGCCAACTTGAAGGAGGCCGGCGAATTTTTTCCCTGATAATATCGAGGTCGAAGGAGGCCGGCGAATTAAAATTTGAGGATGTCTCGAGCGAAACGCTTGTTTTTGAAATCCCGATCGATAAATCACAGGGTGCGGGCCACTTTTCGTGTGTTGAGGATGTCTCGAGCGAAACGCTTGCTCCGCAGAGTTTGCCGAGGATGTCTCGAGCGAAACGCTTGTTTTGCAGAGCCGACCGCGACGCGGAAAAGCGCCCCGCGCAAAGGAATTTCGATGATGTCTCGACTAATTCGTTTGTTTTTGTACGATTTCCTGGAATTTTGGCAGGATGTCTCGAGAGAAATGCACGCCCCCACCCTAGCACGACCATACCCCAGCACGACCACACCCCAGCACGACCAGACCACAGCACGACCCCACCCCAGCACGACCCCACCCCAGCACGACCATACCCCAGCACGACCACACCCCAGCACGACCCGACCCCAGCACGACCCTACCCCAGCCAGACCACACCCCAGCACGACCACACCCCAGCACGACCTCACCACAGCACGACCACACCCCAGCACGACCACGCCCCAGCACGACCACGCCCCAGCACGACCACGCCCCAGCACGACCACGCCCCAGCACGACAACGCCCCAGCACGACCACCCCACCCCTGACACACCCAGGCACGACCACCCCCCGCACCCAGCACGGACACTCCCAGCACGACCACACCCCAGCACTACCACACACCAGCACAGACCACACCCAGTCGCCACCCCGTGGAAATGTCTTGTGCGTTCGGGTGTGCTGGTGAGTGGTTGCCTGTTCGTGGGGGTCTCGTGGAGGAATGTTTTCACGGCGGTGTCTAGTGGAATGTTTCGTGAGGTGTCTAGTGGAATGTTTCGTGAGGTGTCTCGTGGGATGTTTCGCGGGGTGTCTCGTGGGATGTTTCGTGAGAATGTCGCAACAGTGGGGTATCGTGAAAACGGACCATGCTGCACATGTATTGATCCCTTTCAGGGTTCGGGGGTCAATCAGGTTTTTTCCCGGATAGGGCGGGGCCCAGGGTTCTCTTTTAGTAGGTAAACCTGTCCCCCGGTGCCAACTTGAGGGAGGCCGGCGAATATTTTCCCTGATAAATAACGAGGTCGAAGGAGGCCGGCGAATTAAAATTTGAGGATGTCTCGAGCGAAACGCTTGTTTTTGAAATCCCGATCGATAAATCACAGGGTGCGGGCCACTTTTTCGTGTGTTGAGGAGGTCTCGAGCGAAACGCTTGCTCCGCAGAGTTTGCCGAGGATGTCTCGAGCGAAACGCTTGTTTTGCAGAGCCGACCGCGACGCGGAAAAGCGCCCCGCGCGAAGGAAATTCGATGATGTCTCGACTAATTCGTTTGTTTTTGTACGATTTCCTGGAATTTTGGCAGGATGTCTCGAGCGAAATGCACGACCCCACCCTAGCACGACCATACCCCAGCACGACCACACCCCAGCACGACCAGACCCAGCACGACCCCACCCCAGCACGACCCCACCCCAGCACGACCATACCCCAGCACGACCACACCCCAGCACGACCCGACCCAGCACGACCCTACCCCAGCAAGACCACACCCCAGCACGACCACACCCCAGCACGACCTCACCACAGCACGACAACACCCAGCACGACCACGCCCCAGCACGACCACGGCCACCACAGCACGACCACGCCCCAGCACGGACCACCCCCCCAGCACGACCACCCCCCCAGCACGACCAACCCCCCATCACGACCACCCCCAGCACGACACACCCCAGCCCGTACCACTCCCCAGCACGACCACCACCCCAGCACGACCACCACCCCAGCAACGACCACACCCAGTCGCACGACCCGTGGAATGTTTCGTGGAGGCCTGGTTGAGTGGTTGTCCTGGTGTGGGTGTCTCGTGGAATGTTTCACGGGGTGTCTCGTGGAATGTTTCGCCGAGGTGTCTCGTCGGAATGTTTCGTGAGGCGTATCGTGGAGTTTCGCGGCGGTGTCTTCGTGGGATGTTTCGTGAGGATGTCGCCCAGTTGGGTATCGTGAAAACGAGACCATGCTGCACATGTCTTTATCCCTTTCCGGGTTCGTGGGTCCATCATGTTGTTGGCGATTGTTATGGCTCCCCTCGTCCTTCTGGATGCTGCCAAACAACATGTGTTCTTGCTTTCTTGCGCCCTTCGTGGGTGCAGCGGAGTGGTGCCTTGTTCGCCGCGCAGTGGCACCCCTATGGGAGTTCTGGGGCGGCTCAGAGCGACCAGGGGCCTGAGATCCCCCCGAAGGCGTCCTTTGACACCGCGGGTCCCACTAGTAAGCAGTAGATGTGGCTAGATGAACCAGAGGTGCGAGACGAAAGAACAAAACAAGAGAGAACACAAACAGCAACAACAACATACACCAGCAAGACAGCAGTCCAGCAGGGAGGCTGACAGCCTGGCGCCCCCGAAGGGGGCAGCGTATGCAGAAATACGCCCCCGCCCAAAATTATTGTTGCTTGGGTGGAAGAAGGAACTTGACACATGTCCTTGATTTGTGTTCGGGAGGGGGTCTGCCTTGTCACACTGCGTTATGTTGCTCAACTAATTGCTTGCTGCCTTCAGCGGTGATTCCGCAGAGGACGCCTCGATCATGAGCGTGTCAGCTATGATCGCGCAGTGGTTCATCCACGTGCAGGTGCTGCAAATGGCGGCTCCTAAATTACGCACGCTGGGGAGCTGGCCTGTGTCAGTCAGTCGGGTCGGTTTGTCTTCCCCATGATCTGCCAGAACAACTCACGTTTTTCCCGGAAAGGGCATAGGCCCAGGGTTCTCTTTTCCTATGTAAACAATGTCTCCGTGCCCAACTTGAAGGAGGCCGGCGGATTCTTTCCCTGATAAATATCGAGGTCGAAGGAGGCCGGCGGATTAAAATTTGAGGATGTCTCAGGCGAAACGCTTGTTTTTGAAATCCCGATCGATGAATCTCAGGGTGCGGGCCACTTTTTCGTGCGTTGAGGATGTCTCGAGCGAAACGCTTGCTCCGCAGAGTGTGCCGAGGATGTCTCGAGCGAAACGCTTGTTTTGTTACGTATGTGCCTATAGATTCGCCCTCTCCAGGGGGACGAATCCGTGTGTTTTTACGTAATGAAAACACGTGGGCCCATTTCGCCCCAGAGTGGAACAAGCGTGAAAACACGTGGGCCCATTTCGCCCTAGAGTGGAACAAGCGTGAAAACACGACCACGCCCCAGCACGACCACCCCCCAGCACGACCACCCCCCCAGCACGACCACACCCCAGCAAGACCACACCCCAGCACGACCACACCCAGTCGCACCCCCGTGGAATGTTTCGTGGGGTGTCTCGTGGAATGTTTCGTGGGGTGTCTCGTGGAATGTTTCGTGGGGTGTCTCGTGAATGTTTCGCGGGGTGTCTCGTGGAACGTTTCGCGAGGTGTCTCGTGGAATGTTTCGCGAGGTGTCTCGTGGGATGTTTCGCGGGGTGTCTCGTGGGATGTTTTGTGAGGTGTCGCCCAGTTGGGTATCGTGAAAACGTGACCATGCTGCGCATGTCTATATCCCTTTCCGGGTTCGTGGGTCCATCATGTTGTCCACATTCCGACACACAATCGGAGATGATGCCAAGAGCGGCATATTTGCCACCGTGATTAGGTTGGGGTCAGGAGGCTTTCGGATGAACATGAGGATCTCTTGGGGTGCCTCTCGGGGGCCGCTTGGGAGGGCTCTTGGGTGCATTTCGGATGTTTTGGGGGGCCTCTTCGAGGTCTCTTGGGGGGTTTTTCCCGGAAAGGGCGCGGGCCCAGGGTTCTCTTTTAGTTTGTAAACTTAATCCCCCGGTGCCTGCTTGAAGGAGGCCGGCGAATTGCCGGCGAATTTTTTCCCTGATAAATAACGAGGTTGAAGGAGGCCGGCGAATTGCCGGCGAATTAAAATTTGAGGATGTCTCGAGCGAAACGCTTGTTTTTCAGAAAATGGTGAGGATGTCTCGAGCGAAACGCTTGTTTTGTGTTATAGATTGTCCTCTTTGGGGACCTGAATTCTGAGGACCACCTCCCAGCACGACCACCCCCCCAGCACGACCACCCCGCAGCACGACCACCCCCCAGCACGACCACACCCCAGCACGACCACTCCCCAGCACGACCACACCCCAGCACGACCCCACCCCAGCACGACCCCACCCTAGCACGACCACACCCCAGCACGATCACACCCCAGAACGACCACACCCCAGCACGACCACACCCCAGCACGACCCGATCGATAAATCACAGGGTGCGGACCACCCCAGCACGACCACACCCCAGCACGACCCCACCCCAGCACGGCCCCACCCCAGCAAGACCACACCCCAGCACGACCACACCCCAGCACGACCTCACCACAGCACGACCACACCCCAGCACGATCACGCCCCAGCACGACCACGCCCCAGCACGACCACGCCCCAGCACGACCACCCCCCAGCACGTCTACCCCCCCAGCACGACCACCCCCCAGCACGACCACCCCCCAGCACGACCACACCCCAGCACGACCACTCCCCAGCACGACCACACCCCAGCACGACCCCACCCCAGCACGACCCCACCCTAACACGACCACACCCCAGCACGATCACACCCCAGAACGACCACACCCCAGCACGACCCCACCCCAGCACGGCCCCACCCCAGCACGACCACACCCCAGCACGACCACACCCCAGCAGGACCCCACCCCAGCACGACCCCACCCCAGCACGGCCCCACCCCAGCAAGACCACACCCCAGCACGACCACACCCCAGCACGACCTCACCACAGCACGACCACACCCCAGCACGATCACGCCCCAGCACGACCACTCCCCAGCACGACCACTCCCCAGCACGACCACCTCCCAGCACGACCACCCCCCCAGCACGACCACCCCCCAGCACGACCACCCCCCAGCACGACCACACCCCAGCACGACCTCACCACAGCACGACCACACCCCAGCACGACCACGCCCCAGCACGACCATGCCCCAGCACGATCACGCCCCAGCATGACCACCCCCCAGCACGACCACCCCCCCAGCACGACCACACCCCAGCACGACCACACCCCAGCACGACCACACCCAGTCGCACCCCCGTGGAATGTTTCGTGGGGTGTCTCGTGGAATGTTTCGTGGGGTGTATCGTGGAATGTTTCGTGGGGTGTCTCGTGGAATGTTTCGCGGGGTGTCTCGTGGAACGTTTCGCGAGGTGTCTCGTGGAATGTTTCGCGAGGTGTCTCGTGGGATGTTTCGCGGGGTGTCTCGTGGGATGTTTTGTGAGATGTCGCCCAGTTGGGTATCGTGAAAACGTGACCATGCTGCGCATGTCTATATCCCTTTCCGGGTTCGTGGGTCCATCATGTTAGGGGGGCGTCTTGGAGGCCTCTTGGGGCCTTTTGCGGGCGCATCAGGGGCCCCTGGGTAGCTCTTGGGGCCATGGGGAACGACTCGAAATATCAGGTCGTATTCCCCCTTTTGGGCTCTCTTGGGGCTCTCTTGGGTCGTCTTGGAGGCATCTGGAGCGGGGCATCTGGAGTCGTCTCGGGGCCCTCGTGGGCCGGCTTGGATCCTTCTTGGGCGCATCATCGGCCGTTTTTGTGAAGATTTTGAGGATCCTTTGAGCAGTCTTAGAAATTGTGAAGACGAAAAAGGCGAGTGTGCCAAACATGCACGTCTTCGTGAGGGAGAGGGCCGTTTTTCCCGGAAAGGGCGCAGGCCCAGGGTTCTCTTTTATTTCTCTTAGCTGTTTACCCCCGGATCTGACGGGAAGAGGGCCGGCGGATTTCTTTTGCGAAAAATAACGAGTGGGAAGAGGGCCGGCGAATTAAGATTTGAGGATGTCTCGAGCGAAACGCTCGGTTTTCAGAATGTGTTGAGGATATCTCGAGCGAAACGCTTGTTTTGTGTTATAGATGGTCCTCTCCTGGGGACCTGAATTCTGAGGATCTCTCAAGTGGATTGCTTGTTTTCACGTGCTCAAAGGTTTTTCGTTTTTCTCTCTTTCTGTCCATCGTGTTTTTTCTGTCCGTTGATTCTTGAGGATGAAGTGTTGTTTTTTTTGTGTTCTTCTACCTCTTTTTATTGTTCGCTTTACTGACTTTTTTTTCTTATCCTCTTTACTTTTATGTGATCCTTCTTTTTCTTTCGTTTCGGCCCCTTTCTCTTTTTTATTTCATATTGTATTCATCTGATATGTTTTCTCGCTTCTTTTTTCGCTTCTTTTTTTCCTCAGTTTAACTTTTCTTTCTCTTATTTAATTTGTTTGGCTCTTGTCCTTTCTTTGTTTATTGTCCAACTTTTTTTGTTTTTTTTGATATTTTTTCTGCTTTTTGTTGTTCACTTCTTCTTTTCACTCCATATTTTTCCTTTGAGGATGTCTCGAGCGAGACGCTTGGTTTCACGCCTCCAGGTGGCTCAGACAGATGTCTAGCATGAGGATTTGTTGGGGATGTCTCGAACCAGATGCTTGTTTTCACGTGTCCAGGTCGCCCAGGCGGATGTCTAGCATGAGCATTTGTTGAGGATGTCTCGAGCGAGACGCTTGTTTGCACGTGTCCAGGTTGCCCAGGTGGATGTCTAGCATGAGGATGTGCTGACAACGTCTTGAGCGAAACGGGTGTTTTCACGTGTCCAGGTCGCCCAGGCACAGCACAGCCCTCGGCACGGTACATCAATATCGATACCCTTAGCATTGCAGCCTGGCATGTTGCCTGGCACGTTACGCGGAGCGTCCCGTGGCGAGTCCCCCTGGCACGTCGCGCGGTGCACGTCCATTGGCACGTTCCGTAGCGCGTCCCCTTGGCACGTCCCGCGGTGCGTGCCCATGGCACGTCCCCTGGCACGTCGCCTGGCGCGTCCCTTGGGACGTTCCGCGGCGCGTCCTCTTGGCATGCTCCCTCAGTCGATAAGTTCTGGGGCAGCTACCATCTGCTCAGGCAGCTCGAGCTTACGCTCCATATCAGTTCGGTGAGTACTCGGATGCCAGGGAGGACTCGATTCACAACGCTATCTAGAGCACAATCGCGGCATGGCACATCGCAGTTCAGCACGGCCCAGCACAGCACAGCCGTCGGCACGGTACATCAAGATCGATACACTCAACTATGCACCTTGGCACGTTCCTTGGCGCGTTCCGTGGCGAGTCCACCTGGCACGTCGCGCGGCGCGTCCCCTGGCACGTCCCTCGGCACGTCCATTGGCACGTCCCGCTGTGCGTGCCCATGGCACGTCCCGCGGTGCGTCCCCATGGCACGTCCCCTGGCACGTCGCCTGGCGCGTCCCTTGGGACGTTCCGCGGCGCGTCCTCCTGGCATGTTCCCTCTGTCGATTAGTTCTGGGGCAGCTACCATCTGCTCAGGCAGCTCGAGCTACGCTCCAGATCAGTTCGGTGAGGACTCGGATGCCAGGGAGGACTCGATCCACAACGCTATATAGAGCACAATCGCGGCATGGCACATCGCAGTTCAGCTCGGCGTAGCACAGCACAGCCCTCGGCACAGTACATCATCATCGATACATTCAGCATTGCATGTGCCCGTCGCCCAATCAGGTGTCTTTGAAATGTTGCAATCCCTTACATTTCTGTATTCCTTTCCGGGTTCGTGGGTCGATCATGTTTGTCTCTTGGGGCCTTCTCGGCGGTCATCTTGGAA